GTCCAAGGACTGTCGATGGATACAAATGGCCTTAACCCATTAGCGCTCAGTGGCAACTTTAGTTGCCAGTGACTTTCAACACCCATAAAATCTCTTGTGTATTGTGTGTGGCCTATTTTTACGTGATATATAATTTTTAGCGTGTCCACATGTATTTATAACCTACAAATTTGCTTATAAACTTGTTAGGTGCTCGTTAGTTTTTATTTCAATATTAAAGTTTTGCAGCAACCAAACCTAGCCCTAAACAATGTAAATATTTTTTAGTTAATTTATAATATTTAGAGTTCATACCCAATTCATTTTAAACCAAAGGTTTATTATATATAATCATCTAAGAAAATTAACTGTTCATTGAATTATAACCTAATAATGGTACCCTAAATTCACGTGGCAACTTTAGTTGCCACTGAGCACTAGAATGATTTATTTTTTTTCTTTTAGGTCCGAAGATAATAGGTTTAGCGTAGATAAAATTATGAAAGCTTGTGAAGAAAATTACAGATCAAGTGTTTTTAGAAGAATCAGGTATGTTGGAGTTTTTTCTCCTATAGAATCTGCTGAAGCTGATACTGACGAAGATTCAGATTTATCAGATGATGAAACTGAAGGAAATCCAAATCATTTACCAGGTAGAATCCTCAGATTGGAAGCAATTTTTGAGTTGGATGAGAAAATTGTTGAGAATCATTAAGAAGAGAAACAGTACAATAAATATCGGTTTGAACAAGAAAAATATTGATTGGCCACAGCCAGATACTTCAAAACCTATTGGAAATAAAAAGCGAAAAGTAATTGCATCTTCAAAGAGTGTTTGGTCTCAAAAGAAAACAGTTGGAATTTACCTGCCATTACTATACCCTCTGTACCATCGACTATAGAATTTTTAAAAAACTCAGTAAATTCTCCACTTCAAATGCTTTTTTACTGATACTCTACTTGAACATATATCATTACACAAACTAATCTTTATGCTGGACAAAGGGGAATGGATAGTTTAAATGTAAGTTATGATGAAATTTCTGTCTTGTTGGGAATAATCTTATTATCTGGTTAACACCAACTGCCGAGTAAGCGGATGTATTGGCAAAATAACCTAGGTACTGCATGGTAGCTATAGTTGCAGAAGCAATGCGAAGACGTCGATTTGAGGATATATTACGGTATCTCCATCTAAATGATATCTCGAAGATAAACACTGACAGGTTTTACAAGGTCCGCCCTATGTCTGATTATCTAAATAATTCATTCAAGCAAGTATCAGTTGGAAATTTAGTTGCTGTAGATAAGAGCATAGTCCCGTATTATGGATATCATTCTAAAAAACAATTTATACGGGGCAAACCTATTCGTTTTGGGTTTAAATTGTGGGTTTTAGCAAGCCCTAATGGATTTGTGTCTCATGCTGAACCATACTGCGGTGCACATACAAAGCTTCCTGATACTGAACTTAGACAAGGAGGAAATGTATTACTAGGACTTGCTGAATATGCCAACGTTCCTAGCGGAACTAAATTATATTTTGACAATTTATTCACTTCTTTGTCCTTACTTGAAGAACTGTCCAAACGAGACTTGGGAGGAACTGGAACATTGCGAGAAAATAGAATAGCAAAATGGATGAATTTACCTACGAAAGAATCTTTCAAGAAATGTGATAGAGGGACGACACATTCTACATTTAATGGAAAGCTAATAGCCATTAGATAGAATGACAATGCTGTTGGAATACTATTATCAAACTGCCACAGAGAAGTGCCGTTTAAAAATGTTCAGCCGTTTAGTAAACGTAAAAAAAAAGGAGATGATGATTAAAATGCCTGATGTCATTTTCCACTATAATTCTAATATGGGAAGTGTTGACCTGAATGATCAGTTCACTGCTCAATATAGATGCAAAATTCGCAATAAAAAATGGTGGTGGCCACTCTATGCTTGATCTGTGGATGAATTTTGTGTTCAAGGTTGGCTTGTATATAGGCTTCTAGGTCACGAAATACCATACGTGCAATTTATGGCAAAAGGCCATAAACCATTAACCATAAACCCGGGCCGCATACGTCGTTTTCCACTTCCTCTGTTTTAGAAGGTCTAAGAACGGACAAGAAAAATCACATTATTGCGAAAGAAGACTCAAAAGTACCGCAGATGCAAAATGTGTCAAAGAAGAACAACATACTTGTATAATAAATGTAATGTACATCTACATGTGAATTGCTTTGAAACTTTCCATAAATAATGTCCATAATATGTATCTCTAGTTTTGTTAAAGCACGATTAGTTTTTAATACATTTCTATTACATAGAAAATTTTTAGTTATTACCAAACCGTAAGCGCTCAGTGGCAACTAAAGTTGCCACTCATTTTGACAACCTTTTGACAGACCTTGATTTTTTTATGTATTTTTTAGTAAATATGTAACACTATTTGTAATAAAATCTATAAAAAAATTTACAACTTTCAAACTTTTTTAGTTCTGAGCACTAATGGGTTAACACGACCATGACTAATTTTATGGAAAAAGAATTGAGCATACAAGTAAAAATTGAAGAAGCTTACAAACTAGGTAAAAAACATGTCTTATAAAAACAAAAGAGAGAAATGAAAAAATGAAAATTATACTAAGAAATAAAAACAAACTAAGTTCAACGAAACCAGAAATATATATTAATATTGATCTAACGCACAAAGAGATGACGATAACATGAATTCTCAAAAAAAAAATAATGAAACATACGTACATAAGAAAACATAACAAAAAAATTAAAAAACACGAGCAAGTAAAAATAAGTACGTGGAACATCAGAACAATGCTTGAACCAGGAAAGATGCAAGAGATTGTCTCAGAGCTGTAAAGATACGGAATTGATGTTGCAGTAATTCAAGAAATTAGATGGGCAGGTCAGGGAGAAATAAATAAAAAAAATTACATATTACACTACTCTGGGCATAAAAATAAGGTAAATATGGAGTTGCATTTATAAGTACTGGAAAAATACAAAATAATATTCTGCAATTTAAACCAATAAATGAGCGCATGGCATACCTAAGAATTAACGCCAAACCATTTAATATATCCATAATAAACGTATATGCACCAACAGAAAGTGATGGAGCAGACGAAAAAGATAACATTTATGAGAAACTGGAACAAGAAATTGAGTCTTTACCCAAAGAAGACACAATTCTTGTAATGGGAGATTTTAACGCCCAGATAGGCAAGGAAGACTACATTAGCTAAGTTGCAGGTAAATACACATTTAATGAAAAAACAAATGATAATGGTCAAAGATTATGCAACTTAGCAACTAGTACCAATATGATTGTCAGTGGTACAAAATTTGCACACCCTGTATACCACAAAGTAACATAGATCTCACCAGACCAAAAAACATGGTCCCAAATAGACCATATACTGATCCCAAAGAGAAAGCAAACAAGGATAACAGACGTGAGGACATACAGAGGTGCACATGCAGACACAGACCATTTTATGCTTACCGCAATTATTAACAGTACAAGAATACCAAGACTTAAATAAATACGTGGAATAAGAGACCACGAGATAGAAACTGAGCTAGAAAAACCAACGAAAGATAAAGTTGAGGAAATTATAAACAGTAGTCGCAACGGTAAAGCACCAGGTATAGACGGTATAAACATGGAACTTATAAAATATAGTGGACACGAACTCAGAGAAAAAATATACCAATTAATAAAAGTCGTATGGAATAAAGAAAATATGCCAGAAGAATGGTACAAAGGATAAATTATCACAGTTCATAAAAAAGGAGACCAACAAATGTGTAATAATCATAGAGGACTGACATTATTAAACACAGCGTATAAAATCAAGTCAACCTTAATCCAACAAAGACTGGCCAAAGCGACTACAAATATCATGGGACAGTATCAATGCGGATTTATTAGGAGAAAGTCAACAACAACTGCCATACATACGGTAAAGCAAATTATGGAGAAAGCTTATGGATATAAAATAGAAATTGAACTGCTTCTAACAAGCATTGGAATAATAAACAGAGCGAAATTATTTACAGCTATTAGAGATTTAGCAAAAAATATGAAAAAACAAGATTATTTATATATATCATTTATATTTATTTATAAATATTTATTTGAAAAAGTAGAAAAGTTTCAGTGTTTGGGAATATTATTAACAAACAATGAAAAAAGGGAAACAGAAATTAAAGAAAGGATACTTACAGCAAATAAGACATACCACGCAAATAAAAAACTTACTTAAATAAAATAAATGACTTAGCAAGAAATCGAAAATGAAGCAATAATAAAGCAATAATAAATAAAACAATAATTCGACCGACTATGATGTATGTTGCCGAAACCCTTAGCATGGCAAAACATCAAGAGGATACCTTAGAATACTAGAAAAGAAAATACTAAGAGCAATATTAGGACCAATAAAAATTATTGATAACCAATATAGACAAAGAACGAATCATGAACTATTAAACGAAATTAAAGAGGATATAGTTTGTAAAATAAAACAGAAAAGGGCAAAATGGTTAGGACATATAGGAAGATCAGGACCATCTACAACAATATTTTCAATATCAGAATGGACACCACCTGGTAAAAGAAGACGTGGATAACCAAGATCTACATGGCTACAAAAAGTAACAAATGATCTCAACCGTGCGGGCGTACAGCAATGGAGAGAAAAAACCAGAGATAGGAAACAGTGGAGAAAAATAACAGAAAAAATTAAATAAAGAAAATGAGGACTGTTTAGCCACAATATAATATAATCTGGTTTTTCCTAGAAAGATTAAATAAACATCGTTGTCCTCGTATAAACTTCACCTGTCCAGTTTTTACAGATTCGCTCGTAAGTTTCCTAATATAAGAGATAACGATGGCTATTAGCGTCTTCCTTCAATGGCCTGCCACAAAATTAACTAACTTAATAAAGTTTTGAGGGGCAAGTTTTATCGTAAAGGAAATATGTAGTTTAAATAACATGCCCTATATTATTATACGTTACAAATTTTATGTGCACCGTGACGAGGTTATCGGCCAAAAGGAAAACACAAAAGTAAGTTAGTTGATGTGTAAATACATCAAGTATTCTCGTAATACGAAGATAAACAAAGTAACCAACAGCTAAAGAAAGAAAATAATGAAATTAAACAAGAACTACGTATAGCAAAGATGAAGATAGAACAGCTCGAGAAAGAAAGAAAAGCTAACTCGAAGGACTGTCGATGGATACAAATGAACTTAACACGACCATGACTAATTTTATGGAAAAAAAATTGGGCATACAAGTAAAAATTGAAGAAGCTTACAAACAAGGTGAAAAATCATGTTTTATAAAAACAAAAGACAGAAATGAAAAAATAAAAATTATACTAAGGAATAAAAACAAACTACGATCAACGAAGCCAGAAATATACATTAACAATGATCTAACGCACAAAGAGATGAAGATAACATGAATTCTCAAGACAAAATAATGAAACATGCGTATGTAAACAAAAAAAAATAAAAAACACGAGCAAGTAAAAATAAGTACGTGGAACATCAGAACAATGCTTGAATCAGGAAAAATGCAAGAGATTGTCTCAGAGCTGGAAAGACACGGAATTGATGTTGCAGTAATTCAAGAAATTAGATGGGCAGTTCAGGGAGAAATAAATAAAAAAATTACACATTACACTACTCTGGGCATGAAAAACAAGGTCAACATGGAGTTGCATTTATAACTACTGGAAAAATACAAAATAATATTATGCAATTTAAACCAATAAATGAGCGCATGGCATACCTAAGAATTAACGCCAAACCATTTAATATATTCATAATAAACGTATATGCACTAACTGAAAGTGATGGAGCAGACGAAAAAGATAACATTTATGAGAAACTGGAACAAGAAATTGAGTCTTTACCCAAAGAAGACACAATTCTTGTAATTGGAGATTTTAACGCCCAGATAGACAAGGAAGACTACATTAGCCAAGTTGCAGGTAAATACAAAGTCAAAGTCAAAGATTATGCAACTTAGCAACTAGTACCAATATGATTGTCAGTAGTTTCTAGGATGTCTAGTAGTATAGTTTCTAGGATGTCAGTTGAACAAGTATAAAAACAAAATTCGACACTCAAGTGTCGGCGTCTTTTGTAAAACATAGGCGGCTCAATAGAAATTAAATAATAAACTTTTATTTTTAAATTAAGGTCTAATATTTTGTTAAACAGTAATAATATTGTTAATTATTCACATTTCTTTATGAACTTGACAACAAAGATTATTAAAAGTTAATACACATAGTCCATTCACTAACGGTAAAATATTGTAAAAATCTCTAAATTTTAAAGAACCACTGGGATTGACATGAAATTTGGTATACCTACACATATAGCTAACGTGTCGAAGAAAAAAAGTGATATTGTGCCGATGTGTATTTTTGTCCTGGGGGTGGGTACCGCCCCTTCTCGGGGGTGAAAAGATATACATCCAAAATAAGTCCGGAAGGGGATAAACTGACTAATTCTAAGCAACTTTTGTTCTATAGAGGTTTTTACTAAATCAATACTTTTCGAGTTATTTCCGAGTGAATATATTCATTTTTCAACAAAAACAAATAACTCAAAAGGTAGGTATTTTATGGAAGAAAAAGTGTTCTTAGCAAAAATACAGTTTATAAAAAAGTGAAAACAATGTTATATGTATGAAGTCTGTATACCCAGCAGAAGCAGAGTTATAGCTAATGAAAAATAGATTCTTACCTATTCGTCAAATTCCATATCGAATAATTTAACGTGAAATAATCAAAAAAATGTTTTGTTACTTTTTTTTTAAATTGTTTAAAGAAATCTTTATTTTTGATTTTTAAAAAAGTTTCTAGCATCAAATGCAAGCAAGTTACGCTCAAAACAAAGTTGATCCCTTTTTTTTAGTAAAAAATAATGATGAATATGATCTGTAAGTTTCATCGGTTTAAAGAGCTTATTTTTGAAAGATACTTAGATGAAATCGGCCAATTCGTCTTCCAGTCGAATTGTCTCTTAGGTTATAGATTAATGGAGAGATCACATTTACTACAGTACACAGAACATATTTTTGACAAGTTGTGAAAGTCTTTGTGGAAATATTCACACAATTAAATACTATCACTATCCGTGTGTCCAGAACTTGAGTCGTCGTTTGTGTTTATAACTACGTATTTAATTGGTGGTAAAGTAGGATATTCTTTTTCTTTTACTTGCACATGAGCTACACATTTTTTCCAAATGTCAGTTTTGTTAAGTTCGTCGATCACTGTTCGTATATTTTGGACAACAGCGTCACTTAATTGGGGGGATTGATTCATTTTCCACAATTTCTTTTTTACATCGGCCCATATCATTTCAATTGGGTTGAAAACACAATGATATGGAGGGAGCCGTAAAACCGTATGTCCGTGGCGTTTAATGAGTTTATCTTTTACATATTCTTTTTGAAAATTTTGTTGCTTAATTAATTGCAACAATTCCTTTTTGTTACATTTACTAGGTGTTGCCATGCCTTTATTCTCCATAAATTCTATGATATCTCCCTTCCTGGAGCTAGTATTTGGAATTTTGGTGTAGAGTCTAAAATGGTATGATGCATTGGCCATTACTATCATGGAATTTGTTTTAATATTTGGTAAAAGCTATTCCGTTGCCCATTTTTCGAATAGTTCAGCAGTCATATCCTCTCGATAATCAGCTGATGACTGTTTAATATTTTTGGCCGATAATAACAAGGCATTAGGTACAAACCCGCTCTTAGTTCCAGCATGTAGAATTATAATTATTTTTCCTTTCGAACAAGGAGTACTCAAGCAGCACTTTTTGCTATCATCCATCCAGCCATATTGAACTACATCATGGGTGTAAAACTACGTTTTATCAAGATGCACAATGCCTCTATTGACATCTCGATATTCCTTTATTTTACGTAAATATTGTTGCCTCTGTATCACAATCCTTGTAGATTCCATAATTACCATTCTCTTGTCTAATTTTTTATAACTAAATCCGCATTCTATTAAAACACGCCTCAATGTATCAAAATATTTATATGCGTAATCAGGATATATTTTCAACTTGTCCTGAAGCATTTCCAACGTTGGAACTTTGTTGTCCTGATAAAATTCGTAGACATAGCGACAAATAACGTCTTTAGTGGCCTTATCAATATTTTTAAGGATTTGTCCAACTCTTTGACGTTTAACAGAATGATCACTTACATCCCCAGCTGCAATAACACGTAAAACTGTCGTACGCGCAAGTTTGGTAAGTTCACATATCCTTAACGCAATATTATTTTCCGAAAGTGTACTATTTTCGCCTCTTAAACAGGGATATATATTTAGAATAATAGTATAATAATAGAATAATAGAATAATATAATATGTAAGTCCTTATTTACAAATTCCCAATTCATTGGTGTTGGATCTAAAAGAAATATTTTTACTTTTAATTGTTAAACAAAGTAGACTAAGGGTGAATATTATGACCGAGCATCCCTATACGACTACATATTAAACTTGATTTAAATAAGAATTTACATACCTAAAACGTCGTTAGATTGTCGCTAGTATTCTGGTTGGTATCACATTCAATTGGTCGCCAAAAAGCCATCTTTAATGTATCTACAACTTATTTCTACTGTCTTAACTCAATCTTAACTAAAAAACAACACTGCTTTTTGCACAAAAATATTAAAAATATACGTGAACTTGCTGTCGTACACGACAATACTGAATATATCGTTTAGTACGAGAAACCTGAGAAGGCATTTTTGACCAGATAACGATAAAATTTGAGCGTAATAACTTCCGAAGAATTTGACTAATTGCACTTCAGTAGTGCCCGATAAGATACGTAGAAAGTAATAAGCCACAGCTGCAATGTGGACAATACCGTTAGTGATCAATTACTAATAATGTTTATATTTCTGAATTATTCGGGACTGGACCCGAAAAATTCCTTAACTTTTATTGAAACCTAAAATTGACGATTAAAAGTATATACATACATCATGCAAATGAAATGTAATGTTCTTATTAATTTGAGAACTAAAAAATGAGACTACAATTTTACTATAAAAATAAAATAATTTATTTAATAAGTTAATAATTAAGTTTATTACGACGACACTCTTATTGTGTTTATTATATGCTTGCCGCCTTTGAAACATGAGAAGCAAAGATAACGGCAAAACCAGATTTGGTTTCAGTGAATGCACTTCCGAAAAATTTGACCAATTACATTTCAGTATTACCCAATAAGATACGTTAAAAAGTAATAAGCCACGCCTATATCCATGTGGAGTAATACCAGGAGTAATCAATAATTACAGAATTACAAAGATTTATCTTTATTTCTATGTTCGCCGTAGAATTACTGACCGGACCCCAAAAATTGTTCTTTCCCAATTGATATCGTTTCTACTTTACAAAATTTGTACACCCTGTATATCACAAAGTAACATAGATCTCACCAGACCAAATAACATGGTCCCAAATACACCATATACTGTTCACAAAGAGAAAGTAAATATCGATAACAGACGTGAGAACATACAGAGGTGCACATGCATACACAGACCATCTCATGGTTATCACCGCAACGTTAAGAAAAAAAGTCAAAAGAAGACTAAAAAACAAGACAAGAAAGGACAAATGGTACATAGAAAAACTAAATGCTACAGATAATAGAATTAAATATGCAGAAGATATAAGCAAAAAACTGAAGGAATACTGTAAACATACAGAGGATATTGAAACAGAATGGAGAAAAATAAAAAAGTGTATAAATGAAACAATTCTGAACATATAGGGATAGATAGAAAGAGCAAAAAAGAAGAATGGTATAATCAAGACTGCCATAACATGTTAAAAAAGAAGATAGAAATATAACAAAAGTGGATCAGAACAAATAGACAAGTTTATAAAGAAGAATACAACAAATTAAGAATATAATGTAAGAAACAAATAAGGAAAATTAAACGGACTTGGTTAAATGATAAGATAAATGAAATAGAAAAAGAGAACACAAATAGAAACACAAAAGCATTTTATAAGAAAATAGCGAGCAGAACAAAACCTATAAAGCAAAGTTAAAAGGCATGAAGGATATAAATGGAAAAGTATCAAAAAATGACAAAGAGTTTAAAGAAATCTGGACTGATTATTTTAAAAGAATTATTAACAGTACAAGAAGACCAAGACTTAAATGAAAACCTGGAAGAAGACACCACGATGATAGAAACCGAGCTAGAAAAACCAACGAAAGATGAAGTTAAGGAAATTATAAACAGTAGTCGCAACGGTAAAGCACCAGGTATAGACGGTATAAACATGGAACTTATAAAATATGATGGACATGAACTCAGAGAAAAAATATACCAATTAATAAAAGTCATACGACGAAAAAAAGATGCCAGAAGAATGGTACAAAGGACAAATTATAACTATTGACATAAACTTTTGATTTTATGTACTAAAAGTTAGTACCTATAGGTAAAAATTACTTGGGAAGGGATCCTTACAGCAGGAAAGTATCCATCTTATGGTAACAAAAATATAACGAGCCTACTAACATTTAACTAATTTTTTCTACTCTCTTACTAGTAAATTGTATATTACCTACTATTTGGATGCTAAGTAAATGCATCATAACAGATACTGACACGTAATGACTAGCACGTAATAAAAAAAATTACGCTTCAGTTCTATAAAAATGTGTAATATCACATACGCCTTGTAAGTCAGTTGGTCGAGTTACCATGGAAACGAATTAACAGGCGTTGTTTTGACAGGTTAAAAATTATGAATCTGTCAGTGTAAATATACTGGTAATTTAATTTTTATTTTTATAAACAAAAATAATGGTAGAAAAAGTATAGTACACAACTTGAGTTGTAAGCTTATTACATGCTTGTAAAAATTACTGCGCTCGCCGCTACGCGGCTCGCGCGCAACTTTTTTACTCGCATGTAATAAGCTTCTTACAACTCTCGTTATGTAATATACTATTACAGTATATACTATATTCACCAATACAAAAAAGTTGTAGACAAAATCATTGTAAGTTTAAAAAAATGAACAAAGAATTATTTATGGATAAAATGAATTAAATTTTATAAAATACCTTAATAGTATAAATGCAATTAATTTAACGTATTAAAATAATTTACAAAATTATTTTTGTTGCAGGTTCTTGCCTAAATTATGGACATGCGTGCTGGGGTGGTAAGCATTAAATCAATTATTTTATAACAGTATTGAAATGTGCAAACAATAATATCTTCATCATCATCTTTGGCTCTACAACCCTTGATGGGTCTTGGGCTGTTCAAGAATTAGTCTTCATTCCCCCCTATTTTTCGCCCTGGCTTTCCAATTTCTGACCCCTAGATTCCTCGAGTCACCTTCGACTTGAATTTTAAATCTCTTCCTAGTTTTTGGGGTATTATCTGTCTTTGGGGATCTCCAGTGTCGTTCTTCGTCGTTTTTACCAAAGTCCATGTCACTGACCCTGATGTCAGGACAGGTTTATTTCAGGTTCGATTCTGAACAGAGTGATTTTTGCTTTCAGCTATCACATTAGAGGAAGGAATAAATTCTTAATCGGTTTGGGATGTAAGTATGGATGTTTTGACTTAATCACTATATTGGTACATGTTCAGGTTATTTGACCAGGTTGATGGCAGGGATAACAAGTTAGTTCATTAGAAAGAAAGATTCGGTAAGATGTGTTCGGAATTTTATTAATTTTGTTAAATGGCAACCGTGGCAACACCGCGCTTGGCCATGCGCTATCCATTTTTGCGAGTAAGTAAGAATCAAATCAAGAAGAGTGTTAACATATACCTAGACTTGTAACATCTCTATTCTATTACCATTAAAAAATTACAGTCCACATCGTTTCAATTAATCTATTTTTACCAGTGAACCAGCGCAAGTTGAATACAAACAAGTGTGTTCAAATTCTATTAAACATTTTGTTCCAAACGAGCCGAATTTGTGAAATATTCAAGTATCTATTTTATTACCGGCATGCAATTAGTGTACGCGCCAAAACTAGTTGGAGGCGATATCAAGTAACGAGTTCCGAGTTCCAGTGTCAATTCCAGTCGACCAATTCAGCGGGAGAGCCGATCGTAAAGAAACGCAGGCGACAACTTCCACAAGCGACAAGTATTCGTCAGGACCACTGTACATACAAGGTCAGATCCATTTCAATTTCCTTCCTAGTAAAAAAACCGTCCAATTGATAATTCATTTTGGTTTATTTGACAATAAAATTAACATTTTTATGCAATTGATCTATAAATCTATTTAAATATTACCTTCGATTTGTAATATTTGTGTACAATTATTTGTTTTGATAACAATAACTAGTTTTAATCAAGTATTTGGCCATTTTAACTACTAGTTTTAAATAAGATGGCTAATTCAAATAACGAGATACAATTTGTAGACGATTTAAAAGATCTGAAAAGAAATCGAGGTACTATGAAACAGAAATTATCACTTCTAGAGAAATTTATTAATAAATTAAAAGACAAAGTTGATGTTGATATTACAGATATTCAAGTTAGGTACGATAATAATATAAATCTACTAAACGATTTTGATATAATTCAAACAGAAATTGAAAAAAAGTGCTCTGAAAGTCAATTAACAGAAAACTATTTAGAAAGAGAGGAGTTTGAAAATCGTTTTTATGCGGCTCAAGCATATTTACAAGTTGTTTTAAAACCAGTAACTAGTAATAGCTCACAATATACTCAGTCTAGTGAATTTAAACCAGGGAATGATCCCCTGCAAAATGTTCTATTGCCTAAAATAAAATTAAAAGTGTTTGCAGGAGAGTTTAATTCTTGGATTGCCTTTAAAAATAGTTTTAATGCGACCATTGCTAATAATACTTCGCTTAGCGATGGACAAAAGTTTCATTTTTTAAAAGCCTCTTTAGAAGGGTATGCAGCTAGTTGTGTTGAAGGATTAGATAATGTAGAGCAACCATTTCTGAGAGCGTGGGAGTTATTATGCGATAGGTTCGATAAAAAACAATTTCTAATAGATAGCCATTTTAAATCTTTATTAAATTTATCAATGATACAAAAAGATAATAATTATGCTAGTTTTCGAAAAATGTTGGATGAAATATCAAAACATTTAACTTCTTTGGAAGGTATTGACATACCAAAAGAAAAGTTGTATGATTCATTCATGATCCATATCTTAGTTAACAAGTTTGAGAAAAATACTATACGGGAATGGAAAGAAACTAAATTTGCAAATGATTTACCTTCTTTAGAACAATTTATTAATTTCTTAAAAAATAAAACAGATATATTACAAAGTTTAGATGAGTCTCAAGCATTCAAATCACAAGTTTCAACTTCAAACAAGTATCATAACAGATCTAACAATTTAGTACACTTTGCAGTTAAAAACCGATGCAATTTCTGCAAAAAGGAACATTCAATTTATAAGTGTCCTACATTTAAAGCTTTATCGGTCGAACAGAGGTTTCAAGAAGTTAGAAAACATAAATTATGCGAAAATTGTCTATTAAGTGGGCATGATAAGAACCATTGTAAATTTGGTCCATGTCCTATCTGTAAAACTCACAAACATAATACTTTGCTTCATAAAGATTATGCACAAATTTCAATTCGTGACACCAGTCACCAAGTAAGTTTACCTACTACTTCTGATCATAGAAATGATAATTTAGAACAGCAAATAAGTATAAATTTTGCAAAGAATGAAAGCCAAGTTTTATTAGCTACAGTTATATGTAATATTAAAGACCAAGCTGGTAATTATCATAAGTGCCGAGCCTTACTAGATTGCGGTGCACAAATGAACTTAATCACCGAACGTTTTTGCAATAAATTAAAACTACAATTAACTGATACAAATTGTTCAATTACTGGTATTAGTCAACGTTCGTCTAACGTTAATAAAAAATGCTTTTTAAAAATATTTTCACAATTTTCAGATTTCAGTTCTAGTATATCATGTCTAGTAGTACCAGTCATATCAAGTAGATTACCTGCTTATCCTATTGATATGAATAACATTCGATTACCTCACAATATTAACTTAGCAGATCCAGAATTCAATTGTCCTAAAGAAATTGACTTATTACTGGGAGCTCACATTTTTTGGGATCTTATATTACAAGATAAAATCTCATTAGGTAAAAATCTTCCATTGTTAATCAATACTCAATTGGGTTGGGTTGTAACAGGTACAATTCCAATTAATTCAGATAAATATGTATGCAATTTTATTAAAGTACACATCCCTGAGGATGATCAATTAAAAAAGTTTTGGGAACTTGAAGATATTCCTACCAAGAATGAATTTCTGTCTCAAGACGATCGCATTTGTGAATCTTTATTCAAACAAGACACATTTCGTGATGAAAATGGACAATTCGTTGTAAAGTTGCCTTTAAAACACTCTCCTAGTTTATTAGGCGATTCAAAGCAAACAGCTATTAAAAGATTTAAGTCATTAGAATCAAAATTCTCCAATTCCTATTTTAAGCAACTTTATTTTGATTTTATTCACGAATATGAAAACCTAGGTCATATGAATAAAATTTCTATTAATTCAGAATATTCCTATTTTTTACCACATCATGGCATATTAAAAGAGTCTAGTGTTACTACAAAACTTAGAACCGTCTTTGATGGAAGCTGCCAAAGCTCATCAGGATGGTCTCTTAATGACCTTCAATATGTAGGTCCAAAAGTGCAGAACGATATTTTAAACATTTTGTTAAGATTCAGAATTTATAAATATGTTGTATCAGCAGACATTTCTAAGATGTATAGGCAGATACTCATACATCCAGAGCATAAATATTTACAACAAATTCTTTGGCGTAAAGATACTAGCGAAGAATTTGCTATTTACCAACTTAACACAGTGACATACGGCACTAGATCTGCACCATATTTAGCAATTAAATGTATCAGAACATTAGCTGAAGACAATTTAGACAAGTTTCCATTAGCTTCTAGCACAATTTTAAATGATATGTATGTCGATGATCTATTAACGGATCTAATGATCTAAGCGAACTACAAGAAAGATGCAAATCTATTTACGATATACTCAAGTCAGCTCATTTTGTTTTAAGAAAATGGGTCTCCAATGATCAGCAAGTAATTACTAATTTTCAAGAATCCGATGTCTCAAATTCAGTACTAAATTTGGGAGATCATGATAGTTGCAAAACATTAGGTGTCCAGTGGTTAAATTCGTCTGATTCATTTACTTTTAACATAAACAAGTTACGTAGTCATGAACCATTTACTAAAAGGCACATTTTATCGATTATTGCTCAGATATATGACCCTCTAGGTCTGTTAAGTCCATCTATTATTATTGCAAAAATGCTCATTCAACAATTATGGACTCTTCATATTTCCTGGGACACTCCGATTCCTTTGGATTTGCAACAGACTTGGTTACAATTTCAAACTAATCTTGGTATTTTCAATAAGATATCTATTCCTCGTAAAGTTGTCTCGAATACTTTACTTGACATTCATTGTTTTTGTGATGCATCGAAAGCTGCATATGCTACGTGCATTTATCTTAGAAGCGTCAATGATTCGAATCAGTATCACATTAATCTTTTGTGTTCAAAAACTAAAGTTGCGCCAATAAAACTTGTAACTGTTCCTAAACTAGAACTTTGTGCTTGTCTATTAGGGATACAATTAATAAAAATAGTAACAGAAGCCATTAAGGTAAATGTTCCCATTTTCATGTGGTCTGATTCTCAGGTAGCATTAAGTTGGATTCATACTGATCCTAGTAAATTACAAGTTTTCGTTGCTAATCGAGTAGCAAAAATTCAAGCATTGTCTAACATGTTCACCTGGAATTACGTTAACAGTTCAAGTAATCCAGCAGATATTGCGTCTCGTGGTATTATGCCCGACAAATTAATTTCCAATACACTTTGGTGGAATGGACCAAGGTTTTTGCAATTGCCACAGTCAGAATGGCCCAATGTGGGTTTTAAGTTAAAAACGTCGGAATTGACAGAGGTGAGAAAGACTCCTAAAGTTGTCCAACTTATATCAGTACAATTATCAGATTTAATCAGTAGATATTCAAGTTTTATTATGCTTCAAAGAATAACAGCCTATTGTTTACGTTTCATTTACAATTTACGAAATAAAACTACCAAGCGTACTGGTAACTTATCTATT